CTCCAGCCTCCCTGGGCAGGCAGCCTACAAAAGCATACCTTGAGTGTTGTCCTGCAAGATTGGGCCCCTGGGAGCAGCTCCTGGGAGTGACATGGGCCTAACCCTGTGGGACAATGGGCAAGGTCCATGTGGCCCACTGAAGTGGATCAGCTGTGTTGGGATACATCCCGGCGCTGATGTGCTTCATTTGGCAACATTGTTTTATACCCAAATACTGCTTTGTGCCCTTCTCTCCACCCATGACAACGCATCCCACCACAACATTTGAAACACTATCTGATTTTGATATCAGATGGTACAAGGGGCAAGTGTTCAGGAACAAGAAAAAAAAGGTACAAGAAACTGCTATTATTTAAATACTAACTGTGATGCCGCAACCCTGGACCGATGGAACAAAAAAGAAAAACACGCAGTGATGGTAAGTGCTTTGATTGTCAGGTTTTGGAGTGCCCTTGGTTTATTTTAAAAAATAAAAGGAAAACCAAGATCTGGAAAAAGAACATATACCCCTGTAACATCTTTTCCTGGCATTTACCACTGGAGTGAAGTATGATCATGTAGCCAGTGTGTTACATGCTGTATCAGAGAACAACTGATTTAGCCATATGCTATCTATTGAAAGGTAGACTGAAGATGTACGTGAGCCCAGCAGGAACCTTTGTTTAAGCTCTTATCTTCGAAGTTGTTCTGCTCCTGTGTACTTCATAAGGTCTGCAGGAGAGACAAGAGCAAAGCATTTCTGCACACTTCCAAATGCTGTAGACAAGAATTATGATACTGGGAGAAATGGTTGCTTTTCCATAACTATAATTTGTTCCAGGTGCTCCCAAATACAGACACAATTAACTTAAAAGACACCCAAACTTTTTGCTGTTTTAAGAATTAAGTCTCATTGATTTTTTTTTAAGTTTGGATAAATCAAGTACTATTTAAGATTAGAAATGGCTCCTTTTAATTATCCTGTAAAGTGTCTCGGCCCCTTTCCACTAGTCCCAGGAGGGCTTATTGCTTCCCAATGGACAATCTAAGAAAATTTTACTAGCTACCCCTTGGCAGCCTGACTCTTGTTTTTGTTTAATTTTCTGTAAGAGGCCACAGTGCTAAGAGCTTTATAAATGCAGATAGTTTAAACAGAAGGATTAGATCTATTTAAATATTGGCTCATCTTGTGGGCAGTTTTCAAGGATGGCAATACTAATATATTTAATAAATTAACATTATTTGAAATCTGGGCATGCTTTTCCTTCATTAAAGCTGACAAGCACAGGGAAAGCTTGTCGGTGTATGTGTATGTATATAGAGAGATATATCCTACTGTGGCAAAATCTGTCAGCAACCAATGCAAAGAACCTGGGGTGATGCATTGCTTGCGTCCAGCACATTCTCACTGATTAGTATTTTTAATGATTCTGGAATACACCTCAGATAATCTATTTCTCAGTCTGCCTTTCTGCTGGCAGCTTTTTTTCCAGCAAAGTTTCAAAGTATACAAGGAGAATATGGATGCTGGGTCCCAGCCATTATTAGCTTTGTCACTCTGTTCACTTCTTTAAAAATAAATTCATTCATTCCTTTTATTTCAGTTTTTTAGAAGACTGCACAATATTATTGCCACAATAGAAAGGGGGAGGGAGGGGGAAAGATTAAAAGATACTTTAGGAAATTCCAGAGCCAAGAACCTTGTTTGAAAAATAGTTAGTGCTTCCAAGTAAAAATGGTAAACTTAGCCGTCACATCACTTACAAAAAACCCTATAAAATTATAAAAGCAAGGAAGTGAGTTGTAAAGGACATCACAAATCTTATTCTTTCCATATAGTCAACTTTAACAAATAGCTATCATGTAAAAAGGAACGCATGTTTCATCACAGCAAAATTTTAACTCTAACCCAAAGTTAGAATGGTGAATACCATTCTTTCCACAATAACCTGGGAATGCATACACATGTGTTATAATAAAAAATCTGTATATGAAAAGAATTCAACATTGATTAGGAAAGGTCTGGTGAAACCAGCTGTGCTGGAGAATAATAGCCTGATCCTGCTCTCGTTGGAATCGAGATATCAATACCTTTCTTTCATTTCACCTCTCTCAGTACTGCCCTTCCCTTTTCCCTATCTTTTGTATTTAAATGACTTTATTCCTGTCCTTTGAGTACCCTTGTTCTCTGCATGTTCATTTATAGCATTTTTAAAATAGCATGTTGCCTACAAAAGCTGTACCTTTCTGAATGAGTTAGGCACTGAGGTGCCAGCCTACCCTGTCTTCTGACCTACCAGAGCAGGATGTACTAACACCCATAAGAGACTCCAACAAGACAGGCAAGTTCTTAGCTCTTCTCGGGATTTTTCCTGGAATCATTATTTGTGCTGTGTCCTCTGTTGAGGGAATTTAAGATTTCTTCCTGGCAGTAATATTTACCCAATTTCAGGACCACCTATCTCCATGGGTTGGATTTCCTCCACCCACCAATGGGTAGTTATTCCATGACCCAGATGTAGCCCTTTGGACCTCCCAGAACACCCTATGCTATAACCTGGAATATTTATTATAAATGTCAGTTTGTCTTAGGGAGGGTTGGCTAGAAGTATTTTCAGAGCCTGCATTTATTGATGTTCCATAAATGGCCACCTGGGTATAACTGCGCATTGCATGAATATGATTGGCTGCTTGTAACTAAAAAGGCATTACCTGTTTTTGATGCTTCACTCTGACAGGTCTCAGCTTCTATTCATTTACAAATTCAATTTGTAAGCAGTCTGAAATATGAACCAGGTCCTTTGTTAACAACCAAATTAAGTTGGCTGACACTGAGGTTTTAAAACATTGCTAATGCCTCTGCACAAAGATCCCTTTCCTTAATTAAGCATTTCATATTTGCTATTCAAATACTTATAAAAATAATACCCAAAACATAGCTAACACATTTTTGCAGTATAGCCCCATAATCTGGGCTGAATATTTTTCTTCCGACACATTCATGGTATACATCAAATGAGCAATTAACATGTCTGCTCTGAATATATATGATGAAATAATTCATCAAAATCCTAAAAAGTGTATTGACATGATATTGATTCAGAAGGATATTCATGCTGCTTGAGGCCAAGCAGTTGCACTTTCAGCTACACTCTTCCCCCCTCCCCTTTTTCAAAATTTTCAAGCAGGTCTCTCTGCACGCTTTTCCAGAGAGATGCTTGCAAAAAGCAAAGATCAATATACAAAAATGTACCCATACCAAACAGTTAGGGGTACCATCAGCTTCAAACAGTGAAACCCATTTGAGACCCATAAAAATAAGGCAGTTCAGAAAAAACAACATAGGAAGTCTATCCTGAAATCGTTCCACTGTATTCAGGTGCAGATCATATCTCATGTACTCATCTCCTGTACCATATGTGCTAGGATTGCTTTTAGCACCTAAATATATAGAGACAGTCCACAAATGGCTCCAATTTTCTCGTCAAGATCGAGACCCAAATTTTATTAAAAGCTTAAGGGTGCTTGAATCCAAGGTTTCAGTTTGGTCTGCTATGGAGATTTTGGAAATTCAGAGTTAGTCCCAAAGTCTGGAGGAATCTTGATGCAAAGCTGGTATCTTTAATAGTTTTGAAATGTATCATGTTACCAATCTGTTCAAAATGGTTTAATTATCATTGTAAATTAGGGTGGCCTCATATAAGATACATCTTCACAGACTTACACTATTGAGTGTTTTTGTGTAAAGACTGAATGCTGTTCTTGTAGGTTGGAAGCATCTCTCACTTGTCATGGTAAATTTTGACTGAAGTTTGACAGCCTTATTGTTTTATTTTCAGCTGAAATGAATAGCCAGGTTGAAAGTATAAATGAATCTACAGAAAGCCAGCCAGAAGATTAACTAATAGGTAAGTATCTAATGACAAGTGTTTTCACTGCAAGAATTCATACTCATACTGGGTCCGTCTGGGGGAGGGGAGAAAGAAAGGTGTCACAACCATCATTAGAATATAGAAAACTGGAAAAAGAAACATAGACCAGAAAGAAAAAGATAAGTTTATTACTTTTCTTAGCTAACATGACTTACAGTACACAAAGCATAAAGCTATCTATTGGACTTTAATTGTCAAATAAATGTTATGATACCATGCTACAACTGTAACTGATTTAGACAGTGCACAGTCTCATATGATCAAACCCTAGACAGCAGCAATATAAGTAATGGAAGAGTAACTGAGTGAACATTTTTTGTCATTACTTAGGAAAATGACAAGCAATTTATACTGGTTGGAATTTAGTTCAGTTCTCTGAAATCTATATTCTGGGAACAACAGGTTTGTGTCAGGAGGGTTTTATTGCCCTTGGCTCTACAATGCCTGAAGTCACTTCTAACTAGACTGCTGTAAAAACAAGGCTGAAGTCAGTGAGCTGCCTTTTTGAGCTTTACTGCTTTATATACTAAGTGATAGTGCCATTGCAGAAGTACATACGTGATGATTGTTATTGCAGCCGAAATGGGAAAGAATAGTTAGGCTTGTAGACATAAGCAGCCTGACGCGTAGATAAAAATGAGTAAGCTGCAGGAGATACCAAATTCCATTGCACACCCCAATTACACAAAGCAATTTTGATCCCTAACAAAGATGTGAAGTTCTGAAGCAGTAATGCATACCTCTTCCTCTGTGTAGGACTATTATAAGATGCCAATATCATGTACAGCAAGATGGGTTATTTATGCTTGTAATGGGATTTCATGTAGCTCAAGACCGAATATATAAGCTTTACAACAGTGGCAGCTGTGTCACCAAGATTTAAAAAACAAGGTCTTACATCTGTGTGTACCCCTTTGTCCTTGTCAGTATCTTGACAATACACTGCCATACTGCTGGAGAGAGAGAAATATGGCTGATAGGATCCCCATTAAAAACTACTGAAGCAAAAAATAAAAAAGCACCTCAAAAATCAAAATATTACTTTTTCTCACCGTTTATTAGTTTCTGATTATGCATTGCATTAAAAGGGTAGAATGCTTGTTATTAAACAATTGATTGGAAGGTTAATACCACCATTGATTTAAAAATATGTATATTTGACAGTCATAACAGCTTTTACCCAATCTGCAAGATGTTTCAGTCTTTTACACCATGATTTCTCACCAAATACATATACACCTGAATATATTTGGGGTGATGTCACCTAATTGTATTTGAGGTAGGTGAGATGGTGATGATGATGATGATAAAAAATATGCAGTATTTAGCCCTCTTCTAGCTAATTAATCCTCTCATTTACAAGGTGAGCCATGGCAGTATTACCCCCTTTCCACAAAGGGGAAATGCCAGTCAGAGAGCCAGAGTGGCTTGCCTAGTGCTACAGAGCATGGTTTCTCAACCTCTTTCTTCCTGAAGCTTCCCCTGCAACTCCCAGCATGCTCTAGGAACTCCATGGCCCAGCTCCCCAGCCCTGCCTGCACAGCCCCTGGTGCAGTGGGGATGGCTTAGCAGTGGGGAGCCCCAGGGCCCTATTCACCTGAGCGGCAGCAGTGCAGAGTCCGGTCCTCAGTGCCACCCACAAGCAGGGCAGGTGGGGTGGGCTCACCCCTGCCCCTTCCTCGGCACTCACCTTAGCCTTGGGGGGGGCCGAGGTGGCTTTTCCCCGCATAGAGCCAGGCAGACCCACTGAAACCTGCTCACAGTCCCCCAGGGGACCACGGACCCCTGGTTGAGAACCGCTGCTACAGAATATTTTAATGGCAGATCCAGGATTAAAACTAAGGATTCAGCTACTCCCAACTTTGCGCAAGCCTCTAGACTATTCTGCCTCTTTGCTTTAATTACAAGCAGAGGGTCCATACAAAACCAGATTGATCAATTTGCTAAATTTTGAAGGCATGATCCTTTCTTGGGTCATTTAGAGCCAAGCAGATACTTCTGGCAGAGTTGCCGGATATTATTTTCAGATTTTTCCAAGGACTGGTCGCCAAAATGTATATTAAAAATCCCAGCAAACCTGCTGTTGGTATCAAGAAACTGAAGGCTTGTTATTTAGCATTGTTGTGAAGAAAGAAGTGATAATCTGTAGCATCCATCACAACCGTGAGTTAAAATACAGCTGAGACTACAGCCTCAGGGCTCCTGTGGTTGGTTGGTGTCCTCCCATCCATTTTGTTTCTGCCTTTATTTATGTTAGTGCCTTTATTTTATGTCCATTTGAGGAGCCAGGTTAGCAAATACCTACACAGCATTAGCACAGGGGAACCGTGAGGTGGTGTTTGCAAAGGGAAGAGACAGTTTGTTCCTTGTGTAGAAAAGCCATGGTATTTTTCAGTGTACACAAGCCAGCTGTTATATTTGCAGCCCTGTGGACTATGAATCCAGGGGCAGGAGAGGGGGACAAGTGCTGGCTTCAAGGACAAAACAGTAAGCTCCTGTGTGAACAGTTAGCTGTGCCTCTGGGAATCGCAGTCAGACTCACTGTAAAAGAGGAGGAGGAGAAGTGTGCTCACGGCTCATGGGCACTGCAAGCTGAAGAATAGAAATGTTGTGCTCTTTACCTGTGTGTACTCAGTGCAGTGGAAGTAAATTGCAATCTTTAACTTTGTTGTCAAATACTTATGGAAGGGTGGAAAGGGCCATCATTCCCATAGTAGTCATGGCACAGATTTGAAAGATGAGCAAGAAGGACTGCTGAACAAGATTGGACCAGAGCTCTTCTTATCTCATAACCTAGGCACAAAATGTGATGCACAATATTTACAAGTATGGAGAGACATGTGGACTAATTTAGTAGTTAGTTCATGGGGCAGAAACCAGCATTAATCTTGTGAAGGTTTTCTTAGCACGAAGACTCCTGACTGGCTACACCACTCTGAAGTGCTGTCTATACTGGAGACACTAGAAATCATGACATCTTATTTCCCAGAGGTTATGTGATGCCTATGTTCTGTGTGGTTTTTGGAAGCCAGCATGTTAGACAACTGTGCTTGAAAGGACAAGAGTAGACATTTGGGTCTATGAAGATTTTTGGTTTGATTTAATTAGCCATGTGTTTTTTCTCCTCCTGTCATGCAGGAACGATAGGAGAAGAGAACAATGCGGTGAAACTCGACCGGCAGTCATTGGCATCGTATGGCATCATTCTGACTATCAGCAGAAAGAGCACCAAAAATGTGCTCAGTGGGATGGATGGGAGGGGGAGGGAGGTCAGGGAAAATGAATCTTTGCTTTATTTCCTCTTAATTCTTGGTTGCATTTTGTTCTGTAAACCTGTTTAAAAGAAACGGAGCTTCCCAACTTTAGTTGTGGTGTCCCAGTTCTAACATTTTTTGCATTGTCTCTGCAATTATAGCAACTTCTTTTGAACCAGCAGACCAGATCAGAGCTAGTTTCCACCCCCACCCCGTTATTGTTAGCCTCCTGACTCGCTTCCCACTTATGGTGCATTATTCAGGGTGATCTATGGGAATGGGACTTCCCCCTCTCCTGCTATTCTCTGGGATATGTTTGGGGGATTTGTTTTGAGAGCATGAACATTGCAAAGGAATGTTATAATCCACAGAGAACAGCTGATCTTAGGACTTTTAAGGAGCAGCTGTTTCAGCCTACCCAAAAGAGCGAAGGTGCTGCAGGCTGCCACCTCCTGCCACTTCCAGGACTGTCAGTAGGAACTTCTGACTGGATGTGCCAACGCAAAATATTTAGAGTTTGGGAGACCCTGATTACTGCCACCTTTGAGCTAAGAAAAGAGCTAACAGGATCTTTTTAGTGCATGATAGACTCAGACTCGTGCTTTAACTGTATAGGCTTGATGTTTTGGGACCTTGTTGCTCCTTTGTTCACTGAATGGAAATGTCTTTTGCCCACTCTAGATCTCTTTAAATCTAAAATATGATTAGCATATACTTTGCAGTGGATCAGCTGGTGGTATAGACTGTGGTTGAAACTGCTACCACCTAGTGTAGTTTTTAAAATAGATTATATTCTGACCTCTGCAAGTTGAGGCTGCATGCCTAAAAGTTAGTATTTCAGATAAGTATTAAAGTACCTGTGGGCAGTTAATGTTTTGTTGAACTTGTGGGTAATGGAGGATAACAGGTATTAAGCATCCAGCTTATCTTTAAATATGGCTTATGGCTTTAACAACTTCACTGTTCCTTGTGTCAGCCCTCATTATATTTTCCTCTGCATATGCATGGTTTTAAAAAAAATGCAATTAACAGCTATTTGGTTAAGAATGTTTCACCATATGTCATTTCTTCTGTCAGCAAGTGCTGCGTTCAAATAAAAGTGGGGGTTTTAATGTACACTTTTCAACTGTACTGTAAATTAAATTGATACACGGTACACAACACTGAGGGAGCGCACAGCATGGGTCCAGGGTTTTATGTTCTACAGACTACATTTCAGCTGCTTTTAAAGACAATTAGCCATTGAAAAAAATAGTCTGGGGGTCTGTTCTGTTTTTCTTGAATATGCACAAACACTGAAATAATTATTTATTGGCTTGCAAAAAAAAGAAGACTGGAAGATGTCAGCCCTGTTTTGATTATTAGCGATAATGGACTTACCTAGATGTAGCTGTGAGCAGAATATGCCCCTAAATGCATGCACTAGCAGCTATACAGTTTGATTGCTGCTGGCATGTGCAGGCTGATTGGAAATGGTGACAGGACAAACAAGGATTTGAGAGTAAAACAGGAGCCCCAGGCTTGTCCATATGAGCATGGCCTCTGGCAATGCTGCCTAGCATCTCCAAGCAAATTGTTCTTTTGTATTTCTCAGGCAGGAGCTGTAAAACTCCTTGAGGATCAGGGGGATATTGTTGACTGTCACTTCCTATAGTGTCTTGAACCCTTTATGACAATAGCATTAGGGAAGATGGGGAAGGGCTCATTTATAAAAGATTTCTATTTGAAGACTAATGGATGTTTAACATGAGTGTTGATCAGCTTTGAAAGGAGCAAGAGCTCAGACACCATGCATCCAGTTACTTCATTTTAATACATCACCAGGGTCATACTATACTTGCTATGCTGGACTTCTCGTTCCCTTTGAAACTCCTGTGCCTCTTGACTCTCCTGTCTCTGTTAGCTTGACAGAAGGTATCGCTTGCTATATGTCATTTTCCTGCTGTCTCTTCATTTGTTGTTTCTGATTGATTAAAACTCGATAAGCAAAGGATTTGAGGCTGGGTATCAGCCGCATACAGCATATTTCATACAGCACATTTCCATATCAGATGTTTTGCCTTCCATAAAGGGAGAATTAGTGGCTCGGAGGTGAGAGAATAAGTTCATTAGGTAACTAGTATTAATTCTCCTTTTGTGTATTCCCTTTAAAAAGGGCGAGATTGAAGGCCTTTGCCTAGCAGAGGTAGGGCAACTCCTTCATAAAGCAGAAAAAATGTGTTTGGAAAATCAAACACTTTATGCTTTTCAAATTCCCCTAGAATGCAGAATGGACCCGAACCCCAGCTGGTATACATTTGTCATCAGCTGAGCTGAGGATCAGGCCCTATATGTTTGAGGCTTAGGCTGAACGTGCATGCTGGTATCACACTCTCCCACGTACACTGTTTAAGAACCACAGTATATCCTCTACCCCTCTGACAAGCAAATTTTAGTTTCATCAAGGAGCAGAGAAGGAAGATTGACAAGAGACTGAATGGAGGGCAGCATTAAAATATTTAAAAAATGAGAAGAGAATCCTCATGCTTCTTGTGAAGACTGATATTAAAAATAATTAACGACAAAAATACTTCACCTAGCATCTGTTCTAACCCGTGACTAATTTCATTGCCATTCTTGCTTAACCTTGGTCTGCTGGCAGCAACAATTCTTTGAAGTGGTAGAAGATTTGCCTGAGGATGCTGCAGCAAAGTGTGAAGCCAAGGCAGGTAGTGTAGAATAAGAAAATGTACGAGTTGATTAAATCTTAAGTCCAATTTTCAGACATGACTCTGTGGCTTGGTTTTCCTCTCTCCCTCTGTCCTTCCCTTCCTTTCTTTCTTCCTTCCTTCCTTCCTTCATGTGGCTCTAGGGTGGAATTGGTTTAGGGTTTTTTAATAAAAATAAATAAATGGGTTTTGTTCATTTGGGCAATGTGAGTTCTTCAAATTCTTTAAATACTGCTGAACCAGTGCACCCTGAATGCGGTACTATTGATTTTGCTAGAGCTACAGAAGTACAGGGAAGTAGTCTCTGCAAAGAATTAATATCAGCAATGGAGTAATTGCACCATAGCGTAGATTTTAAGAACTCAAATTTTATCACAGCATGTGGCAGGTAGAGAATAGAAGCCCTACATTAGTGGTGTTTGCATACATAGCATCAAAATATGCTTTTAATGTAATAGTTCCAATTTTTAAAAGTGCTTATTCTAGAGTTAGGAGCAACAATCTATTGTTCCTCCAGTGAGTGACTGCTTTGATGATGGACAAGTTTCCTTTCATAGAAGCTTACAAAGGAGACGTCTGAGACTCTGTCTGTAATATTGGGTCACATATTCACTGCAGCTAATTGTAAATCTTTCTATGAAGCACTGAAAAGCCTCTTTGTGAATTAACACTGTTCTGCTTTATGCACTTGATTAAAAAAAAGACATTTCTCTATATGCAGTGCATGTCTGCTTTGCTTTTAAAATTACAAAGTTAGCAGAATATGTTGGATATATTTTCTTGGGAAATAGGGTTTTTATCATATGATTCATCAAGGATTTGCCTTACCCTAACATTTGTGATATACAGGAAAGTCAGAAAAATGTAATTTTTCTTGATCAAAAATATGTTTTTACTTAAATGCGAATAAATGTAGTCTGTTGCTTGCAAAATGTCTTCTGATATATGCTAGTGGCTAAATAGGTTAATACATGCCTCTTTTTGTTAATCTGCCATTTAAATGCTGAATTTGCTTATGGATCTGTTCTTTTCTCCTTTTGTCTGTGCCATACATCTGAAAACTTAAGGAAATGATGCCTTCATACTACAATGTTTGTTAAAGCAGAATATTAATAAAACTTGTTCAGAGGACAAGGCCATGCAGCTTGTGTGTTTCCAGCTTCGCTGAGTATGCAACAATAATTTTTGTGATTAATAATGTATATTTCAGATTGAAGTGTAAGAGTGCACTTCAGATTCTTTATTTAACTGGATCTTTCACCTAGTTATTTCTTGTTAGAAATGGATACATCTGAGGGATTTTGAAGGACAGTAATCAGAGAGAGAATCAAAGCTTCTCAGCCTGAGGAAGAAAAGGTTGATCAGTTGATCACATCGCTAAACCAGAGACTTTATAAAAAACTTGGCAGTTATACTGATCCTACTTCTCCATCATGGTATACTTTGTATAGTCATTTATATCAATAAGACTGGCTGTGAAGGGGATTCAAAGTACTGTAAAATCAGAACAGTGATGTTTTACACCTATACATAATGCAAGACACAGACCTTCTCTTTCCCTCTCTCTAGTTTACTGCTACATATATGTTCCAGGTTTACAGCATTTACTGGTGTTTTTAAGGGGGAGAGGAAGTCTGAGAGTGTTGTTTCTCAAAGCATTTAGTAAGCTAAACTATTTGAAGCCATGTCAAGATGAGCACCAAAATTTCCAGGCAAGCATGTGGAAGTGGTTGCAAAGGAAATAGTTAGGAATGGCTAAGTACAGATGTTCAAAAAGTCCAAGGAAGAATCAATCTAACTTTCACAGCTTCCTGTAAGTAGCCTAGGTTAAATCGGTAGCAGACGGTATGCATGTTTGCACTTTGGTGGAAGGGGGCATGCAGGCTGCCTGCACTGGCTGAGGTCAGTAGGTTGGGGGTACTCCTACTCACCTCCCAGCATGCCCTGCAGGCACCCTGAGTTGCCAGAGGCTGCCGAGTACCTGGGCTACCCGTGATTGGCTGCTGGGCACAGACAGGCATGCCCCCAACTCCCTGACACATCAACACAGACTGTGCCAAGCTGTAGGTTTCCAGAAAAGCCCCAGAGCAAGTGTCCTTCGTCATGACTTGCATGTTCCTCTGTGTCTCAGTATGCCCAAACCTTGCCATGGCACCCTACTGCCCATGCCCAAGCAGAAGTTGCAGCATGTCTACTTGTTGCCCATTGTCACTGTCACCAGAAGCTGCAGGACATCACACATGCCCACCTGGACACAAAGTGGCAGCTGGTCACCATGGCACATGACTTAATGCCTCTGAGCCAGCAGCCAGACATCCCACATGGGGCTACCCACCACACCCTGCACCCACTAAGCATCATGGGCTTTCATGTGGCCAATGGGGACAAGGCCACCCAGGACTCGATGGACACTGGGGTGCTCTACCACCACCTCCAGACCACCAAGCACCAGTTCTGGACCAACACCACCAGTACTGTTTGGTGAGAGTGGATTGTCCTGGGCACCTGGGTCTAGCACTAGCAGGCAAAACAAAGAAGTTCATGGGCATTTCATAACACAACATTAAAGTACACAAGTTTACAGCAAAAAAACACAACTTACAGGCTACTCCATAGTATAAGGAATGAGGACAATCTTAACCAGTTACTTAAACAGACAATGGTACAGTGATTGTGCCAAAAGGGAGGGAATAATATGAGGAAGCAAAACAGGTTATCTTAAAGTAACACTATCACCCACAACTAGTCCACTTAACTAGAATGCCTCAATAACCACAAAGCCAGGGGCCTCCTCCTCTGTGGAAACCCCTGTCTCTTCCCCTTCCTGAGACTGCAATCCCCTACCCGGGTAACTCATGACTCCCCAGCAGCTCTGTTGGGCTTGGCTCATCTCTCTCACTGTGGGGTTGGCTGCTGGGGTTTCCCCCCCTTGCTGGGATGGCCGCTTCATCTTGCTGTCGCTTGCTGCAGGAAGGCTGGAGCTGCCTCCTACAGCTACCCGGGCCTGTCAGCCCTCTCAGGCCCCACTCTGTGAACTGTGGGGGGGGATCCTGCCTCTCACAGGGATGGGGTCCCATGCTGCCTCATGCAGCCGTGGGGGGTCACTTCAGCTCCATCCAGGCCCCATGCACCGCTTTGTGCACTGTGAGGGCTTCCACCTCCTGTAGGGATGGAAACCTGTGCTGCCTTATGCAGCTGCAGGGTCCCTTCAGCTCCTTCCAAGCCCCATGCCCTGCACTGTGCACCACGGAGTTCCTGCCCCTCACAGGGATGGGGACCTGCACTGTCTCTTGCAG